ACTTGCTAGGTGCTGGCGGGGGGCGTTGGAGGGAGGGTCGGGCCAGGAGGCCCCCGCCTGCAGCGCCCCGCTTGCACTTGACCCCGTGTGCTGCTTTGGTTTGCACAGACCTGTCTCATGGTGGGGAAGTTTATGTCCCAGAGCGGAATTGGACATCTCAAATCTTGGGTTTGGGGTCTGGACTGGACACTGACCAGCTTGTAAGACTTTGGTTAAATTACCTAATCCCTTTGAGCCTCAGTTTTTTCATCTATAAAACGGGGATAATAATGGGATTATAATACGGGTTAAATTTAAATGTTTTGTAAAGTATTTCAGTTTTGTTTTGTAGATGGGAAAGCGCTTCACCAAAAAAAATACTGGCTTGGGTATGTTTCTGCTTGTACACTCCAGGACGAAGAGTAACACTTTGCATTTCTTACCCCCTGGCCATGAGAGGCACTCATTGTTTAATGTTGATTTTTGACCTAATAGTTCAGAGAAGTTAGTGCTAATAAAACCGTTTCGAAAATAGGTACCTGAAAGCATAGACAAGGGTGGATTGGGATACCTTTAGCCAAAATGGAGAACAAAAAGAGATGGTTCAGGTTTGATTAGAGAGATTTTTTGTTGTTGTTGTTGTTTTTCGGATGGCTTTAAATCGAAGGGCCTGGGGAGACAGCCATGGAACTGTGTTTTTAGACAGTTGGTAATACTTGTCTGTAACTCAGGAAAGATGTCTGGGAGTGGGTGCGATAAAGAAAGGGAAGGTTGATCGGTTTGAGGGACATCACACAGACCAGTCACTAATTCTCAGGCATGGGAGAAGGAGACCAATCACCAATTCCCAGCTGTGGGGATTAGCAGATCTTGAGAGGCAGGAGGAGGTGTAGTTTGGACAAATATCCAACATTACTAGTAGCATTTCTATTTGGGAAAAACCTATTTTCAAAACTACAGAGAGAGCAAGATTTTAATGTTTATAAAAAACGTTGAAAGGTTGAGAAACACTAATATAGTGTGTAGTTACAGTCCTGGGAGGAAGTGTAATTGCCTCGGGGGAGCTTGTGAAGCAAGAGAAGTAGTGATGAGCAGAGGGTGAGGAAACAGTGAGAGACGGAGAAAAGGCCACAGAGTTAGGAAGAGAACTGGGAACAAAACCGCTGTCAAAAGTCACAGAAGCCCAGCCGGTGTGGTTCAGTGGTTGAGTGTCAACCTATGGTTCCCTTCTGGGTCAGGGCACATGCCCAGGTTGCAGGCTTGATCCCCTGTGGAGGGTATGCGGAAGGCAGCCAATCAATGATTCTCTCATCATTGATGTTTCTATTTCTCTCTCCCTCTCCCTTTCTCTCTGAGGTCAATAAAATATAAATATAGATAGATAGATAGATAGATAGATAGATGATAGATAGATAGATATAGATAGATATTACATATATATTTAAAAGTCACAGAATTGAAAACATTGGGATTGTGTAGGCTTCACTAACCATATGGATTTGGGTAATTTTGAGTCTCAATTTTAATTTATGAAAAGGGATGATAAGTACTTCTCAGATGCGATGATTAAATGAAACATTCTTATTAATGCAGTGCCTGGCACACAGTGAGAGCACAGTAAGTGCTGTAATTGTGGTAAACTCCGCACCAGCCCCTCTATCCACAAGAATTCAAAAACTCTTAGACTTGATTCATTCTGGTTGTTTAAGATGTCATTGGTTTCCTTAGTGAGAAATTCATTATATTGATAAGGTAAGTACTGTACTAGGTAATGCTAGGCTTGACGTGGAAACATATTGAGTGTACTTTTGCAAAAAATCTGCCAGTGTAGGGAATTACAATGATAGGAAGGGAAGATTGGGTCTTTGGAAGGTTTGGGGGATATGGGAAGGATTTAAACATGTTTCTATTGAAGAAAATAAAAAAATGAAGCCCATGTTATGTTCTATTGAAAGATGAATTACCTTCCTTATTTACTATAATGAGGAAGGACAGTAATCTCATTATCCCTATGCTTTTAGGCCAGTGATGGCGAACCTTTTGAGCTCGGCATGTCAGCATTTTGAAAAACCCTAACTTAACTCTGGTGCCCTGTCACATACAGAAATTTTTTGAACTTTGCAACCATAGTAAAACAAAGATTTATATTTTTGATATTTATTTTATATATTTAAATGCCATTTAACAAAGAAAAATCAACCAAAAAAATGACACACGTGTCATAGGTTCGCCATCACTGTTTTAGGCACACCCTTGACTGCACTGCATGTGATAATGCCAAGCTATGAAAAGCAGGGTCTGTTTTACTAGATAGTGTTAGTAACGTTCTAATCTGTAACCCAAGATTAATTTTAAAAAAATTATTGGAACTCAAATCTTTTAATAGCCATAGGATGAAGGACTTAGTCCTATATCTGTGTCCTGTAAGTATAGAAACCTGCTCATGTGTTGGTAAGAGAATAAGGTTTATGTAAAGTATGTGTTGAAATGTGCTTTTAAAAAGTATACATTCAAGAAGAATATTTGTGGTAAGAAGTTTGGTTAAAGAGTTCTATTAAGCAAAGTAGGAGAACATTGAGTAGAATGAACTAATTAAAGGAACATTTAGCTGTGAATCAGAAATAATTCATTCAGCATGGGCTCTACTTCTAAATAGTTTAAGGACCTTGGCCAAGTATTACCCTTTCTATGCTATAATTTCTTCATGTATAAATGCAGACAATATCTGCTCACTGTACCTAGCAATTTTTTGTGATTGTCAAATGAGAACTAATTGACTTTTTCAGATTACCTCATACAAACACAAATATAATTTTCTTATTCTAGAATCTAGACAAACGGATATATTTGTTCTTCTGTAATATCATCACTTTCCTATTTTCTTTTGCTTAAGTCTCTCCACCTGGCTGACAATTGTTCCTCTTTCCTATTTGTAGCAAGCCTAGCTTAGATGCAGCTTTTATTTCCTGCTCCTTTGGGGCCTGTAATAATTCCTGTTTGGATTAATTTGCCAACTATTGATATACTATCTTCTGTTGCTACTTTTAATATTTAATTTTCACATTTTAGAGTCTCGTTACTCTGGTGAATTGGAAGGCCCAAGGTTTTTCAGAGGTTAAGTTCTTAGTTTTGCAGGCCAAGCATATGAAAGGATAGAGTTGGTTAGTGGCTGTGGCACTGAAGTCCATTGTCTCAGGTGAGCATGGCTGGGAAAGCAGGAAAAATTCAGCATGTCAAGTCATTGAACACAACCTAGGGGAAGGGTAAAAATGGAGAATAAGCAACACAGGAAGATTCAAAAATTGAGAGTGGAGCCCTCTGAGGCAGCATAGTGCAAAAGCTGCTGTGGCACCCAAAGTAGCTGTTAAAGATAATGAACTGGGCCCGGCCAGCGGTGGCTCAGTGGTTGCTCATCGACCTGTGAACCAGGAGGTCAAGGTTCAATTCCCAGTCGGGACAAATGCCCAGGTTGCAAGCTCTATCCCCAGTATGGGGTGTGACTGGTTCAAAGGTTATATATCATATTCTGACCTAGATCGTAAATTCTTTTAGGGTAGATAGTACAGAATACGTATTTGGCCATGACTGTAAAACAGTTTACTTACCTATCCCACTTCCTTCTTTCCTTCTGTATTGATTGAGTACCTACAGTGTGCTATGCCAGTGAGAACTCACCATCTAAATTTAAAAAGTTTTCAATATTCTTAATAATTTACATACAATAAAGTGCACCCATTTTAAACATACAGATTGATGAGTTCTAACAAATACGTATATCCATGTAATGACCACTCCATAGAACATTTATGCCCTCTCAGAAGGTTATCAGCCCTTGTTCCAAGCTCCCTTTTCCCACCAGAGATAACCACTCTTCTGATTTCTATTATCATAAGTAGTTTTGCCTGGATTTCAACTTCCTATAAATGTAAACATATAATTTATCTGTTTTAGATCTTAATTATTTTGCATAACAAATTACTTTATGACCCATCCATCTTACTACATGTATCAGTAGTTTGTTCCATTTTATTGCTGAGTAGTATTTCCATTGTGTGAATATACCACAAGTTATCCATTCAGCTGGTGGTAGATATTTGGGTTGTTTCTAGTGTTGGGCTGTTATGAATAATGTCGCTATAAACATTGGTCTTTTGCTCTTTTGTGGAAATATGTTTTTATTTTTCTTGGAATTCCTGGATCATGTGGTTACTGAATGTTTAACATTATGAGAAACTAGTGACGTTTTTAACCTTTCTCTCCAGCAATATATGAGAGTCTCACATCCTAGGCACTCACTGGGTGTGAACTGGCGTCTCATGTAGGGTTTTTTTGTTTGTTTTATTTTAGAACACCACATCTTTGTTTTTTATAATATATTGCTAAATTTTTCTCTAATGGCGTTATACCATGAAGTGATCGTGTTAGTTTTATTATAAATCATACATATTAAGTATAAATGTTGCCTTTTTAAAAGCTTAATGCCATAGGATTTTGGGGAAAGTTATTGCGGAAAGATGAAACATCTTGCTCAGCTCCCAGCAGATAGATTAAATAAAGGTTAAATTCTTATTTTTACTGTTGGATTAATCATCATTATATTGCTGTAAAATGTTTATTCTGCTGTCCATTACAATTCATGTGACTTCTTCCACGATCCACTTAAGGGTAGCTTCTTTCAGTCTTTGAAATTTCTTTCTTTACTACAGTTCTATTTTGCCCCACTTCACAGAGTCTTTGCATATATTTTGATCCTGATTTTTGATCAATCAGTGTTATTTTATACTGAGATAATTTGGGAAATTTATATAATTAATTAATAGACTTATACATTTGTGACATTCTTATTAAAGATTTGGTCCTAAGCAAAATTGTGAAGTAGAATCAACATTTGTTTTATTGGTCCTATTGAATTTTATGAACATAGCGTGTGCTTTAAAAACAAGTTTTTAGTAGCTAATACCAAGATATTTACCTTTCTATTAGATGTAAGAATAGTCAGTGTTGATAGAATGATCAAAGTGAGGACTTAATCTAGATTCTTAAATTTGACACTACTAGTGAGATAGGTCAGCATTTGTATCAAGTAAATCTAATTAGTTTATTTCTCAGGTAAATCCCACTTGGTCATGGTGTGAATTGTTTTGATATATGGCTGGGTTTGGTTTACTAGTATTTTGTTGAGAATTTTAGCATTTATGTACATACAGGATATTAGTTTGTAGTTTTCTTGTGATGTCTTTTTCTGGCTTTGGTATCAGTAATATTGGCTTCATAGAATGAGTTAGGAAGTATTCCCTCTTCTATCTATTAGAAGACTTTGAAAAGAATTGGTGTTAATTATTTTTTAAATGTTTGATAGAATTTACCAGTGAAGCCAACTAGTCCTGGATTTTCTTTGTTGGAAGACTTTATTACTAATTAAATCTGTTATAAGTCTATTTTGATTTTCTGTCTCTTCTCAAGTAAGTTTTGGTGGTTTATGTGATTCTTGGCATTTGTCAGTTTCATCTAGATTATATGATGTGTTAATTAACTAGATAGGAGGAATCTTTTCACAGTGTATATGTATATCAAATAACCGTGGTGTATGCTTTAAATATTTTATATGTCAGTTTTACCTCAAAGCTGAAATAAAAAAAGAATTCATAGTATATTAAGATTGGAAATAAAATTCTTTAATGTGATAAAAAGTCTCTGTTTAAAAACAAAAAGTCTACAATAAACAACATCCTAATAGGAAATCTTAGAATTTTTTTAAATTGAGGTATGGAGCAAGTATACTTATTTTCACTACTCTTTTTCTAAAATATGTTTTTATTTATTTCAGAGAGGAAGGGAGAGGGAGAGAGAGAAACATCTATGATGAGAGAGAATCATTGATTGATCAGTTGCTTCCTGCACGCCCCCTATGCAACCCGGGGAATCAAACCTTGATCTCCTGGTTCAGAGGTCAACAATCAATCACTTGGCCCTATCGGCTGGGCTATTTTCACCACTCTTTATCTAATATTGTGTTGGAAATCCTGGCCTCTGCAATAAGAGGATTAAATTAGTCTCATGATGTTTGAGAATGGCAGAAATCAAATATTTGCAGACAATATAAAAAAAAAAAAACAACCTCAAGAGACTATTACGCAATAATTAGAAATAATACAAGATTATTTTAGCAAGTTTGGCTGCTAGAACTAAATGGAAGTTAGATCTAAAGGATTGCTTAGATTCAGATCAAATTTCCCCTCTCCCAAATATGCCGTAGATGATGCTGGATACTTAATTTCACGTCACAAAATCAGTTATTTTGACTCTTAAAATCTAAGATTGATCAGTGTGTTCAGGTTATAGAGTTGTTTGTCTTTAAAGTGAAATATATTTACTGGGATAATAGAACATTTTTGTGCAAATACTTCCATAACTCTAAGGCTAGCATTTCTGGAGTGTTCTTCATATTTCTCAAAGTACTTACCAGAAAGCAGTCAATAAATGTTAATTTGTGTTTTAAAGTTTTGTACATGCTCCTTTCCTTTAGGCTTGTTATCCTTTTCCTGTGTGAAAAGATAAAAAGTTTTGTTTGGTTTTCACTACAGATTTTCAGCTACTGATGTTACAAACAAAATATTGGAGCATAGAGTTGAGGAAAAGACTTAAACCAGGTAGGTACCACAGCAATCTTGAGAAAGAAGAACAAAGTTGGAAGAATCATGCTATCTGATATCAAACTATACTACAAGGCCATAGTAATCAAAACAGCATGGTACTAGGCATAAAAACAGACATATAGGTCAATGGAACAAAATAGCCCAGAAATAAACTATGTCTTTATGGTCAGTTAATATCAGCAAAGGAGGCAAGAACATACAATGTGGTAAAGACAGTCTATTCAATAAATGGTGTTGGAAAAATTGGACAGATATGTGCAAAAAAATGAATTTAGATCACCTTCTTACACCATACACAAGAATAAACTCAAAATGGATTAAAGAATCAAATGTAAGACTTGAAATATAAAAATTCCAGAAAAAAATACAGGGAGTAAAATCTCGGACATTTCTCATAGAAATATTTTTTCTGATATGCCTCCTGGGGCAAGGGAAATAAAAGGAAAAATAAGCAAATAGGACTACTTCAAACTTAAAAGTTTTTGTACAGCAAAGAAAAACATCAACAAAATGAAAAGCAGCCCACTGAATGGGAGAACATATTCACCATTGAAAAATTGGCAGTAACCTTAGTATCTAACAATATGAGACTGATTAAATTAATGAAATTAAAAACTTCAAGCATTAAAAATGATAATGTAGATCTATATTTATTGACACTGTCTATATTTTTTTAAAGTGTCAAAGTGGTCTACTAAACAACGTGAATAGTAGTAACTTAACTTGTTTATTTTATTTTTCAATTATAATTTACATACAATAATAGTAACCTATTTTTGTTTTAAAAAAGTCTGTACACAGATATACAAATATTTAATCATGTTTAATTAATTAAATGTAATCTGCACCTGCAGATAATATCTACATATACATATAGGGTGGGGCAAAAGTGGGTTTACAGTTGTTTGTTTGGAAAATAATAAAACAATAATAATACAAGAATAAACTCTGCTTCATGTAAAAACAACAGTAAATCTACTTTCGCCCCACCCTGTATATAATATATACACACAACATTTGTATATTTACATATGTGTTTGTGTGTACATGACATTTGGAGAGATGACACCTATATTTTGCCAGTTGTTATTTTTGAGTAGCAAGTTTATAAGTGATTTTTATGCTTTTTTTTTTGTTAACTTTGTTTTTAGAAAGTATATTTTGCTTTTCTCATCAAATTTTTCTAAAATGCTTCTTATGGAGATTATGTGTTTTTATTTTATACCTTTGTAACAACTTTTGATATGCAGTAAAAATCAGGTTATATTTGCTGATAACTCTGCCATATTAAAGTATCTGAGTAGTTCTTAAGAGGCTAAATTCACAGATTCTGAGTCTTGTTGATCAGGTGCTTTCATTCTGTTACATAGAGTCTGTTTTCTTAATGCTTTATTGTCTTGCAAGTGCGATGCTGCTCATGGCTTAGCTGAAGTACTTACCCTTTTTGAAAAATCAGAGGACATGTTCTATTAATGACAGTTGTGTAATGCCTTTGTGTATAGAACTTACACATTTACTTTTGATAGTTGTCACAATGTGCTTTGACATTAATGCTGATTATTGTTTTTATAGTTTTTTAAATTTATAGCAGTGAATTTTGAGGGCATTTTCCATTAAACTTTTATCTTACATCTTGCTTTTCTTTAACAGATTTTTCTTCAATTAGTTAAAAATATGGATCCTGAAGGAGAGAGACCACAGATTTGCAATGTGACACCTTTTCAACAGATTGTTGCCTCTTGTACTGGGGCCATACTGACATCACTAATGGGTAAAATAATGTTACTGATGTAGATTATGTAACTGGGTGAATCAATTCATTTGAGTTTTACTATCTGTGAAATAATGTTAATATTATTATTCATCCTTCATAAATAACAGTATCCCTCCATCAGCATAACATGAAAAGAACCCAGGACAGAATATCAAGAGACTTGAATTTTAGTCCTTGCTTTGTCATTCTCAGGGTGAATGTACTTTGGAATTGTCTCTACTTCTCTTGAGCTTTATTTTTCATCTGTAAATTAGGAGCTTATCTTAGGAGTTTTCTATGGTCCCTATTAGTATTAAAATTTTCTGACTTTTATCCTTTTTTAAAATAGCAAGAAGATGAAATAAAACATCAGCATAATGAATAATACAGAATTTGGACAATTTACAATAGCAATAAATACAAATTGTTTAACTTTTCTTATATTAATGGTGAATTTCTTAAATTTCTCTGGACCAATTTTCTGTGGGGTTTTATTGTTTGTTTTTTAATTTATAGTTAATTTCTTGTAGACACAGCCAAATGACATAGTTAGGTGACAGTTTAACATAATGATTTTAACTTGGCTGGTTTATTTCAATAACATAGCAGATAACTAGAACAAACATAAACTAATTGCTTTAGGATGGTAATATGTTACTTCAGGTCAGAATGTTAGAGTTGTAAAGGCCTTAGAGATCATTGTCAGATGAGGGAAAGTTTTCTTTGGTACCATTATTTGGCATTTTTTCTGCTTGGGCCAAATAGAGCATGCAAGTTAAAACCATTCTCCTTTACTGTGCTGTTCCGAAATGGAATAACACAACCTGTTGATAAAGATGCTGTATGACTAGTTTACTCAAATTTACATTAACTATAGTTTTCATTTGATACAAGTAAATTTAATAGATTAGGAAGACTAGTATTGTTTGATTATTGATTACTTATAATACAGTTATTCTCCATATTTAAATAGACTTTTGGACTAGTCTTTTAGTTTTAATGTTAATGGAATTATAGTTGTAGAAAAATTTTAAGTGACATTTTAATATTTGTAGCAGAAGTAATTACATCGTCTTCTCATTGATCCCCTTCAAACAAAATTCAAGGGTAAAAATTAGAACGTTACATTCAAAATCACTTTAAGATAAATAATCTTACCCATTATATAGTCATGAGGAAAAGTATGGTTCAATACACAAGTTGGGGCAAAACTAGGCTTATAGTTGCTTATATAGAAATAATACAATAATTAATAAAAAATAATATATATTCACAACTGTAAACCTACTTTTGCCCCATCCTGTATTTTGTGTTCTTTGAACAAACATTTCTAAACTTACATGTGTCTCTTGTTAATTGAAACTTAAATATCTTCATAGTGACACCCCTGGATGTTGTTAAAATTCGACTGCAAGCCCAAAGCAACCAATTTTACAAAGGTATGTACTAGTTAGGTACTGGAAGTTTATGTCAGATTTTTAAGTGTTACTGCATTCATTTTTGTTTGAATGTTAATCTTTTTTTGTCAATTAAAAAACTGTACCATAATGCAGAAGCAGGTTTTCTTCACCTAATTGTACATGATGAGATCTAGGCAGAAAACAAATGTATATATAACACTTTCATAAACCTATACTAATTAGGTAAGAGGATGATTTTTATTTGAGATATATTTGACAAATAACACTGTATTAGTTTTAGGTATGCAACATAATGATTTAATATATATGTATACATGGCAAAATGATCACCACAGTAAGTTTAGTTAACATCCATTACTTCACAAATTTGCTTTTCTTGTCAGGAGAACTTTAAAGATCTACTCTCTTAGCAGCATTCAGATATACATTAGATTTCATAATATATTTTTGTCTGCATTTCCCTTTCATACCACAGAGTTTTCTTGTCAAATAGAGAAGACGTACACTCATATTCTCATATCAAAACAGGTTTTCCTCCTTTTATCTTTTCTCTCCATCCCCCCACATAACCAAAAAAAATATTTATTTCTGTTTGTATTTGCTTACTGCACTTCTGAAAACATAAAATTTGCTCACTTTTTTAACCACTGTGAATTTAGATCTCAATGCTGTGTCATTAAGCAAATCAAATTATGTATATTTCATCCCAAAAGGTAAGGACAAGATTATATATTTTCTTACAATTTTCTAGTCCCCTCATTGTAATTTCAATTTTTTCATCAATAAAAATAATACAGTTGTATGACATAATTGTTGACTGTTGTAATCTTCTTTGTTAGGAAAATGTTTTGTATATAATAATGGACTTATGGATCATCTCTGTATCTGTGAAGAGGAAGGCAACAAAGCATGGTATAAGAAGCCAGGATATTTCCGGGGAACATTAGTAAGGAGATTATATTATGTATAATCACAGTATATTTTCTATTTTTATATTTAATCTTGTGAGTGAAAGATCTTTCAAATTACAAGACAGTAAAATTTTATCATATACTTAGCAAATTTACCCACAGATAAAAAGTGGATATTGAAGCAGGAAAGGGAAAGTACTTCTTTGCTTTTAACACTTTAACTTTCTTTTCATGCTTTTAAAAACACACACACACACACACACACACACACAACGTTTTGTTAATCCTCACCAGAGGATATTTTTCCCATTGATTCTTTTCAGAGAGTGTGGAAGGAGGGGGAGAGACAGAGAGAGAGAGAAACATCAATGTGAGAGAGACACATCAGTTGGTTGCCTCCCGCAGAGGAGAGACTGGGAATAAAGCCTGCAGCCTGAGGTATGTGCCCTTGACTGGAATTGAACCCATGACCCTTCAGTCCACATGCCGTTGCTCTAACACTGAGCCTACCCAGCCAGGGCTGTTCATGATTTTTTATGTAGAACAAAAGGGGGGGTGTATATTTTTTAAAATTAAAAAATAGTCTTTATTTTGAGATCATTATAGATCATACGCAATTTTAAGAAAAATATATAGATGGATTCCAAGTACCCTTTTTCCAGTTTCCTCTAATAGTAACATCTTACAAAACAAGTATAATACCACAACCAGGATATTGGCATTGATACAGTTAAGATACAGAACAATTCCATCCCCACCGGGATCCTTCTTTTGCCCTTTTATAGTCATACCCATTTGTGCTTTCACCTGCTCTGAACTCCTGGCAACCACTAGTCTGTTCTCCATTTATATAATTTTGTAATTTCAACAATATTATTAAATAGGCTCATAACATATATAATATTTTGGGATTGGCACTTTTCACTTAGCATAATTATGTAGAGATTCATTCACATTGTTGCATGTTTCAATAGTTTGTTCCTTTTTATACTATTCCTTGATATAGATATTGAGTTGTTTCCAATTTTTAGCTATTTTGAATAAAGCTGCTACATACATTTCATTCACAGATTTTGTTGTGAAAGTAAATATAAAAAACTACTCATTGTTTTTCTGTGAACACTTCATTCTGAAGAACTTCTTTCAACATTCTTTATTAAAGGTATTTTGTCAGAGTATTTCAGTTTTTGTTCATCTAAAATGTACTTATTGAGCATTTTTTCAAGCGTATTTTTGCTGCATATAGAATTCTGGCTTAACTTTTTTCCTGTACCTATTCTCTCTTCTTTCATCTATGACTTGAAATAAGGTTGTTATACTACTTTATAGGTTTACAGTTGTTCATGTGGAAAATAATACAATAATGAATAAATAGCAATATAAGAATAAACTCTGTGTTTTGCATACTCACCACTGTAAATATACTTTGCCTATCCTGTATTTCCCTTCAGGTTTAAATCCATTGACTTGCTCTTTGCTGTTTCTTTCTGCTGTGAAGCCCACTTAGTAAATTTTTCACTTTAGATGTAGAGTTTTCATTTGGCTGTTTTTTTATAGTAACTTTTTTTGAAATTCCAAATTTGTTCATTCATTATGCATACATCATGTTTAAATTCTTGAACATGTTTATAATAGCTGCCAATTGTTTCATCTGAATCATGCTTGTTGGTTTCTACTCAGGACTTTTTTTTGAGTATGAGTACATTTTCTTGTTTCTTTTTGTTTACTGAATTTTGATTGGATAATGGATATTGCGAATGATTATTATAAAAACTCTGGATTCTTTTATGTACTTCTGAAGAGTTAGTTTTGTTCTAGAAGGCAGTTAAACTTTGGCCGGATTCAAACTTAAACTCGTGCTTCCCTCTGGTGGACTGTAGGACCCTGTGGTCTTTCTCTGGGATTGCATACAAGTTAATAGAGAGCCAAGTTTTGTGGCTGCTACTGCATGCACATTGGGGGCTTATGCCTTTTTGGTAGTGGCTTCCTTTCCAGGATTTCCCCCTAGCTGTCTGATTATTCTTCCAGCCTGGACTCTGTACTTGCCATCTCAACCAGCTAACTGTGCTGTGGATTTTTTGCCACTTCCATAGGCAAAAAAAGCTGCAGATTTGCAAATCTCACTCATTGCACTTTGTCCTTTAACAGCAGATTTCCCTTTAGTTTTTGCCTGGTTTTGGTTCCTCTCCAGAGATTTCAGATATTGGATTTAAATGATATTTTCTCAGATTTCATAATTGGCAAGCAGAATTAATCTGACAAATTCTCTGCCATTATTCCACTTTCTTTTTATAGTAATTTTTGAAAAACTTGGTTTCTTAGAGCTAATTAGAACAATCCAAAGCTGAGTAATACAGACTTTATTCTGTAAGCTGAAAGTATCATCCAGAATCCTTTACTTGTGTTTGAAAGTTAAGGACAATTCCTTAGGGGGGAAAAAAAAAAAAGGTTGGCCATACATACATCTGAGAAACTTGTATTTTAGAAATAAACACTTGAAAGAATCAAATTACCAATTATTATTATAAACTTTTTGTATGTCAGGTTCAGGAATATATTTTGACTACTTTTCTCTATTATGATTTTAGGATGCATTTTTGAAAATCATTCGAAATGAGGGCATTAAATCTCTGTGGAGTGGCCTTCCCCCCACCTTGTAAGTTGAAATTTAATATTTTCTTTTACTAAATGATAGTGTTGTTTTGCATTACAGCATGATTTAAAAAAACTGTGCATTTTTAATACTAGAACTTTTTCATATTTTAAAACATTGTGTTGTGAGTCCCACAACCACCAACACATTTATGATTTGCTGGAAGGACTCACAGGACCTAATGAAGGTTATACTCCCGACTATGGTTTAGTAAAGGAAAAAGACACAAAAGAAGTTGACCAGGCAATAGACTCCAAAGTCCTCCCTCACGACATTGCACAGGATGTGCTTCTTCTTTTTTTTCTTTTCTATTTTTGTTTTGTTTTGAGGAGGGGAGTGTGATTTGTGTGCTTATTCTTTCAGCATTGAACTACAGCATCCTGTGTAAGGCGTTTCCTAGGGCTACTGGTTGATCACACAGGCATATTCTGTGTTTGTGAACAACTCTGATTACCAAAACTTCAGACCCCTAAAAGGAAAGCAGATGTTTACCAAAAATCATATCATTTGTATAAATCAATCCAGACAAGTTGAAATAATGCTCCAGGTATACAGAAAAACCTTATAATGGGGAATATTCCAAGGGCTACATTTCTTGAAGTTGGCCAAAGGTCAAGCATACAAATAATGCCTTCCTGAACGTATAGAAGATTTGAGCAACCAGGCTTGTTGTGTCGTCTGTGGTGCACAAGCATAACTTTTTTTCATGTTCAGAAATTAAGAATTTGATGTTTGACTGTGTTTTTTTACTAAAATAAGGAGATACTGTGATAAGTATACTTTTCCTTTTCCAGATAATTTTAAATTTCTAACAAGCTATTATATGAATTAATGTGATAAACTAGTAAGGCCAAATTAAAAATCCCAACTAATGGCTTGCCTTTATATACCTCATTTCTTTCTAATTTATTTTTTGGTAATCAACTTAGAGGCATATATTTTAACTGCCTAAGGTTATAAAGTTAGTGGTTAGATCCAACAGTTAATTGTATTTCTAAATTCTCATCATCAAACTTCATTTTAGAACATTAGGCATTCCAAAATATGGTCTGTGAATGTACTTTAGCTAGTCTATTAACATAGAAAGGTTTCTTGTTGCATTAACATTTATGACATGACAGTGTCTGCAACTGTATTTAATTTAATTAATAATTCCCTTTTGATATTTTCATTTAAAAGAATGTTGTCAGAAATTCCTCAGTAGTAGTATATATAAGCATGGCATCATTAGTGGTAATTTATTTCCAGTTTTGTAAGGCGGTATGGAATATGGTCAATATTTCAAAAATAGTTTACAATTGCTCTTGTACTTTTTACTTCAGTGATTTTTATGTTATGGTAAATATAATTGGGAGGGAAGATTTGGGAGACCAGAAGCAGATAGAACAAGACTAGGAGACAGAGAAGTGTCCTCATTTATCTTTTACTATTTATGATCTGACTGGTACTCTAACTTATTTTCACAACTAGAATGTAAACTTCTGGAGGGCAGATACCTATTTTAAAAACCTAATAAGTTAATAATATTTAAAATAAAAGAAAAATTGATCTCATGGGCTGATTCATTATGATTTTTAGCTTGTACAAAATATAAGAAATTTAGTTTTATATTTAAAAATTTGATAATTTTATGTAATTTTGTTTGTTTGTGTGTTTCTAACAGAGTAATGGCAGTTCCTGCTACAGTTATCTATTTTACCTGCTATGATCAATTAACTGCTCTCCTGAAATCTAAATTAGGAGAAAATGAAAGCCATATACCAATTGTTGCTGGAATTGTGGCCAGATGTAAGTAATACCTTTATTATATTTTCATTTTGATTTCTGCTTAAAGAATCTTTTACAATTTTGACATTCACAGAGAATTTGTACGAAATTCAGAATATTGATAATATATATTTTGCATTTGTAGTTTTTACTGATTTGTTAATATTTATACTCTAGAAGGCATATGGCATAGTAATTGCTATCAGAATGAAATGGGATCAACCCATTCCTGTTGAATCTCGATCAGAGATATTAGAATGAATTTAGGTTTTAGACTAGATTCTAGATTTTAGGTTTACTCGCTTGCCTCTGACCAGAATCAAACCTGAGACCCTTCAGTCCAAGGGCCGACGCTGTAACCAGTGAGCAAACTAGCTAGGGCTGAAAACAGACTTTTAAGAAAGACCTTTATCAAGGAAAATAAATCTGCGCCAGTATGTTGGCATTAGATATTTGATGTTAAGGTTTGCAGACTTTTCAAAATAGAAGTTTAAAATATAAAATGCATGAACTATTAATTTTGCATGTGTATTTGCATAGTACATGGCTCTGGTTTTGTTTTTTAATATTTGCTTGTTTGTATTAGTTGGTGCAGTAACTGTAATAAGTCCCTTAGAATTGATAAGAACCAAGATGCAATCTAAGAGGTTTTCTTACAAGGAGCTGCATCAATTTGTCAGCAAGAAAGTGTCCAAAGATGGTTGGATTTCCCTTTGGACTGGCTGGACTCCTACTCTTCTTAGAGATGTACCATTCTCAGGTAGGATTTATCTTATGAATATCTGCTAAATTTTAATTAGCTTTGTCTTTTTATATATTACTTTAAAATCAACTATATTTTAAATCCCTTAAGGCTAAGTGTGAGCTCTTTTCTTTAGTAACCAAAACTCCTAGATCAGTGTTGGGCTCTCAAAGCTTTATGAGTCTTCCTTGAATAAACTAGAGGCCCGGTGCATGAAAATTCATGCACTGGAGGGGGGGGGGGTCCCTCAGCCCGGCCTGCCCCCTCTCACAGTCCGGGAACCCTCAGGGGCGGGAGGCGACCCGGCGATCAGGTGAAGGAGATGCCCCCATCACACCTCTGCTGCTGCCACTGCCGACAGCGCAAGCCTTGGCCAGCCTGATTACCTGCGCCTCGAGCGGCCCTGGGCGGC